CCTCTACGGCTACTAAATTTTCTTTTAGTCGCCAATTATGATATGTTTAATACTAAAAAATTTTTAGTCGCCAATTGTAATATTTTTAGCTACTAAATTTTTTTAGTCGCCAATAATCAACATTCCCCTACTAAAAAAATTAGTAGCTAAAAAGTTGACTTTGCCGACTAATATTATTTTTGGTAGCTAATCCGTGACTTTTGGCGACTAATTGTTTTGGTAGCCAAAAATGTGTCGGCAAAAATGCATTTTCTCGTTAGTGTGCAAAGTTAGAAATCACCATGATAACTATGACAAAAAACTTAGACAACGCAACAACAAAAAAACAATCAGCTTTTGCTATGTAGTGTGAACTATGTTTGGCTTGTACAGTTGAAAACCCACTAGCTCATAGGATCTTTATCTCCTTTTATCATGTAGTTTTCTCTTAAGCTGCAGTCAGTTCACTTCCATGAATCCATCTTTTTGGTTAAATGGATCATATAAAACCTTAGCTATCTGTGTTATACCTTTTGAAAACTGTTGTTAAATCTTAATCTTATCTTAAAAATAGTTTCACTTTACCTATTACTGTTCATCTTCTCATCTATTGAGTTACCATGTTTAATGACATAATGATCTTTCATAGAGTAATTCCTTTATTAATACTAATGCACTATTTTTCTAATAACTTATAATATCATAATAAGACTCAATTACATAGTTCATATTATTAATGCCAAATTCACCACTAGCACCGTATTGTGCAACACACACGACAGTCCCAAACTATCATATATATAAAGAAGCTCTTTCCTAAAGATGCTTGTCTTTGATTCCCATTTTGCCCTCATTTTCCTTTTATTTTACCATATGACAATTGTCCTTTCATTTTTGATAATCTCCATTTTCTTTTTTCGATTTTGTCATTTTAATTTTAAAATAATTTACTAATGTGGGCCTATATGTTCATGAAGGTTTTTTTGTAATTATGCAAACATTCTTGGTCACTTATGCAATGGTTTTTTGTAATTGCACAAACATTTTTGGTCAATTATTATAGCGATTCCGGGTTTACCTCGTTGAACAGTGATCCGGACATGTTTCCGTGGATGTTGGTGGTTGATCATTATATCTTGTTTACATCCTTTCTTACTTTGTATTTGAGTTATAGATGCGTTTTGGCAGGTTGTTACAGGTTGGTTGAGTTTAGAAACCAAAACTAGTTGCCCAGATTTTTTGCCTGTCCGCTCGAGCGGGGGTTTTGCGCTCAAGCGGGAGTTTCACCCATCCAGTATTCCTGTGCAGTGTTGGACGCTCGAGCGGGGATTCGAGAGCTCGAGCGGGGACCTGTTGTGTCGAGATGCTGGGAGAGTGCATCGGCGCTCGAGCGGGAGTTTGGCTGCTCGAGCGGGAGTCTGTGAGTGCCGCTCGAGTGGGGTTTGGACGCTCGAGCGGGGCGACTGGGTTTAAGTTCCGAGTTTTGACTTTTCAAATCACTTTTTTACTTTCTCTTCTCTCTCCTACTTTCCAAAAAACACCATTGTTGAGCCTCTCACTCTAGAACTCTACCTTCTCTCTAGGTTTTGATCTAGTAGTGAATGATTGCTCATCTTTGGCCTTTACAAAAAAGTTGTTGATCGTCGAGGGTTACATTTTAATTCTGAAAATTTCGGGATTTGGAGCACGTTGGTTTTGTCATCTTCTCCCTTGGGGCTCCGAGTTTGAGGTAGGGATATCCTACTCCTCTCTATGGATTTTGTCTTTAGATTTTAGTATTTTGAGATGTTGGGTTGGTTTGGTAATTTTTGTGAAAGTTTGGGGCTTTTGTGTAATTTTACAAAAGTTGGGGTTTATTTATAATAAACTAGATGCATGTTTGGCATAGAGAATGAGTAAATGTTGAATTATTGATGAAAATGGACCTTAAGGGTGTAATGTTAATTATGGAGAATGCCCTAATTACATTGTTTGATTAATTTGGTTAATTAACGTGAAAATGAGGTTATGAAATAGAAATGTTGAGATTGGAATACATGGATTAAAGGGTGTAGTGGATTCATGTCACTCACCTAGTTGGAAATGTCGATTTATATCATTGTTCATTTATTTACTTATAGAAATAAACTGCTTGAGCTATTGGTAGAGGATAGTCGTGATTGTTGTAGACAATGCATGATGATTAGGCAAACGGAAACTAACACTGGAATGAGTCATTGATTATGATTGATTGAAAGAACACTTAAACTTAATGTGTTGCATGATGATGTGTATAATTATTGTTTATATGCATTGTGTTGTATTGGAGGAGATAGGGGATGTACTCTACGGTTTAGGGGAAGATAGTGTAACAACCCTCACCTTACTCTTGTCATACTTGCATACATTCCTGCATGATCTTGCCTTGTTATGTTAATTGGAAGAATTTGCTTGCCTGTTTTGTTTGTATTGCTGCGTGGTTTTGTTCCTTGTCGGGTATGTGTGTGTGTGGCCCAGGTCATCTTGAGCTTAGTTCGCCTTTGAACCTTTGTACTTAGAACTGTTTTGAGAGCCTTGGTTGTCACGCACCCACTTTTTATTTTACTGAAGTCATTACCAAATTTATTATCCTGTATCAATTTTAAGGATAACATGCGGAAATTTAAACTCATACATTCAATCCGTAGAAGAAATTAACAATACTCTCATTCGTATGCAGTAACATTACATTGAACATTACTAAATAAATTGCCCTTGGGCTTACAACACTGAAGTGTTACAAGAGAAGGGTGAACCCTTTACAACAATGGCATTCCGCCAACAATAACTGAGGCCCCGTGGCCAAACAAATCAAAGATCCAAATTCTTGTAGCACACCCTGCTAAAACCCCTGAAAAAAAAGATTCAACAACGTGGTGATGAACATATAGTCCAGTAGAACTCAAATGATCTTCAACAAAACAACTTACAGATAGCTATGATCATGAACACTCATTCTCGTACTAAGATAGTTAATGTGACATGTTTTATACAAAATATATATATATTAAACTTTCTTGAAAACAACCATTTCATTCAACACTATAAGCGATTTAACTTTCCTTTATTCCTTTCATTAATCCCCATTCCCATTCTTTCATTAACATTTAACAATACCTTAGGAATTAAAATTTCACTAAGCCCAACTACTCTCTTCCATTCTCCAAGATACACAGATTACCCCTTCTCAAAATCATAATTTCTTTAAAGAAAATCCGTTTTCCTTTACATTTTTCCAAAACAAAGATGACATTGGCTTCTTCCCGATACAATCAAAATCTATACATGCGCTAGTTATAACGAAGATAACACCACCGACATACATAAGATAAACCAATGAGGCAATTCGACCTGCCAAAGCCATAATCAACACCAAATCCACAATATTCCCCTAGCCGCTTCTTGACACAACGAAATATCCACAAACAAACTTCGCTCTACTCTAGCTATGCGCAAGTAAGCCAAAGGATATAACATCTTTTCACAAACAAACATACCAGTACCAGGGCGCCAGTGGAAGGGTGTGGGTACCCTTATATTCTCAGCGCATACAGTTTTTCTCCAGGCGCTAGCTGGAAGGCTAACGGTAACCTTTGATTATAAGCGCGCATATAACGCCAACAACCAACCATTGAACAAGCATATCCAAATGTATAACATATATACATAAAAACTATCCAATACAAACCCATGTGTAAAATATATGAACACATAAAATTTGGAGACATCCCTATCTTCTCACCACACACTGGAGTACAACCCCTCTCTCCTCCCTAACAAAGTATGCGAATATAATGCATCTCAATATTTCATCACATAAGATGTTTCAATCAACAAGGTGTAGTGCATACACGACAATACAACACGACCACGTCATCCTCCACCGATGACCAAGGACAAAACCTTAGAGCAATGTATATTGTACATCTATCAACAGGGGGACCCCAAAATATTCATGAGATCATTCAACATATCACCAATACTAACATGTAGTATAAAGATACAACAATCCAACATTCATACTCTTTCAAAGTACCTTTCCCATTTCAACGTAAACCAACTCTCTTATTTTTCAAAAAAACCGTTTTAATTTCTTTTGTTTTTCACAAAAACAAAATCCAAGGACAATAAAAGCAAGCTCATTTTAATCTATACATCTCTCTCCC